TACGTACGTACGTACGTACGTACGTACGTACATACACACATCATCAAAAAAATTGGCTAGCATGCTACTAATATGTTAAAACGTGGAAATATAATGAAAATTCCGATTTCACTTTTCGACCCAATTACAATAACTTCCTAATGGGAAGTTAATAAGTATTTATTACCTTATAATTAAAATAAAACAAAATAATTTTTGTATTAACTATCATACTTCATACATTTTTAGATTTAATTATTAGTTTTTGCTCCCTGAATTTATTTAATATTCATTATTTAATGTTTTTTATGACAAAGGTTTGAGTTATTTTTCTGATATATTAAAAAATGTGCCTCCATACCGCTCCAAGTTAATTATTTTTGAAATAACGTTTTCTTATGTGGTAATTATTATATTTTGTACTTATTTAAAAAATTAGATGCCATGAAAATAAGAGATTAGTTTTTCATTCTTTATATACCCTACCGATACGCTCGTAGTCGAAATCTGACCAATTGTGCCAAATCATTTTACCTTAATTTGATAGGTGAAACTGTTAAAAATTAGCAGTGAAGTAAAATAGACGCAAAGTATTAAAAATATATCAAAAACGACAAGTTTAACAATTTAAAAATTTGTTTCAATACTAATTTTTAACAGTTTAGCCCAATCAATTTTTTTAAACGTGTCTCGTACAATTAATTATTTACTTTTATTTGATCAATTTTTTTCACAATATAACTTCCGAAACTTCTTAAAATTAGTACAAACCGGTATTTCACGAAAATTCTTATGATAAGCGTATAATATCGAAAGTGTTACAGGTATAACGTATTAACGTTACACATCTGCGACAAATAGTACTTCACAATTGCTCATAAGTATGTAGATAATAGATAATCTACCAACAATTTCTTTTTGCAGCGCCTGAAAATAAAACAACGAAAATTTCATAATGTGCATTTATTTAATATTAAGTTTAAAACTGAAATATTATTACTCTAATAGTATCATATAAACAAAAAAATTGAAACTGCTTAGCTTATATGTAGAAGGAACCAGTGTTAAGTGTAGTTCTATCAACTAGTATCGTTATGTAACAGTTCATTTTTAATACCAATACTTCTTAATACGTTATCACAATAATGCTATATAACGACATTATAATCGTTTAAAAATTATAACTAGTCCGCCTTATATTCTTGGCTAACACTCAAAAACAATTCCTAAAATTAAAACTTAGTACATACTCAATTTCTATTTTAATTTCAAACCACAGTTCTGTAGCAAAAGACTAGACACTATAGAGTACACAGCTAAAAAAGATGAGAAATATTTTCTGTCCGTTTCAAATTAAAATACAGAACATTCGTGAGTGTTTATTTATAAATGTTACAAACAAATTTATTACTAATATATGGCCCTTGACGAAAATAAATACAAACAAATTAATTTGTTAAAATTTCGATAAAACGATAAATTTCAAATGAAAAATCTTACTAAATCTCTCCGTTGACGAAATCTTTTTCTGTTCGCATGGAATACCTATTCCAAATTAAAACAGAGTAGAAAAGACAATGGCAGTAATATAATGGAATATTTTTTGTTTTCGAAAATGCAATGTTATATTTTCATTTTTTTGATATGTAACATCTTACTACTCAATATGTAAGTATGTGGAACCTTAGGAGTGATTCCGTGAATGCGACAGAGAAGCGGAACAGGAAGTTACAGAGAGGAAGGACGCGGCCTTTAATATCGCTACTGCCATCAGATGTAAATGGAAAGACAAAGAAGGCACAACTGTCACCCATTGGATGCAGATTTCAAATTATTTCTTCTTCTAATGCCGTGCTAATTAATCCTTTTAAAGTTGGTGGACAAAATATTAACAAAATAATTTTGCTCATTACCGAGGTTAGATGTTACACATCATTGACGGCTACTGTTAAGGCTCGTCTTTTACAAGTAATAAGAAAATAGAAACTAAAAAAAAAGCAGACTGAGCAACAAACAAATAAAAATACCCTGTTGGTCAGTCAGACACGTCTTTCGTTTAATATTAGGTACCTATGTTTTTTGTAAAAAATAAAAAAGTAACAGATAGTAAGTTTTACCAACATGCTTTCCTTGCACATACACTCATGATATGATTACGATTTTATTTACAATTTTCTACGATAAATATTTTTGATTATTTTAGTATTTATAATGCAGCGCTTCCAGAACTACTTGAAATTGGTTAATATAAATAACTACATCCTTCTACACTTTTTTTAGTTTACATGTAAATAATACAAATGGTAGATACTTGGACTGATAAAAAAAAATGTAAGCGTAGTTTTTACCTCGCGAACATCTAGAAACCCTGCATTTTTAATTTCCTTAATATACATTTAAAATAACAATCAATAAATATTATACTTTCAATTATTATGTAGCACTACTATGAAACTACTCAACTATCACAATAATTAAGTTGTTTTTTCTTTTTATAAAAGACACTCCAAATAATTATGCCATAAACTTTGTGATATAATTTGCAATAAAAAACAAAATAAATTCCAACAACTAACTTTTAGATCTTACAAAGGCAGCTGCGTTACATATACAGGGTGCTCCATTTTGTCACAGAAAAACATCAAACTCTCGACTTACGATATTAAAACATACCTATTTCTTCCTAATCAGCAAAAATTTATCATTACACTATTACTCTAACGGTTCACCCTGTAATAATCAAGAATACAAAGTAGTTAAGAAACCAATAACTGCTAATATAATAATATTCTATACAACTTTTAATAATATTTGAATAAGTATGAATTTCAACAAATAACACATACAAACTTCATACATATCAATGACCTTAAAACCTAAGTGCCATCACTTCATATTCCTACATACATTAATTTGTGCCGCTGTTTTAAATAATGTCATATTATTTGACATTAATAATTTTAAAAGTAACCAGTGTGATGTAAAAATTGTTTCGAGGGCTTACCATTTTCAGGAAAATTAATTTAAATTTATCACCTAAATGTACATTTTGTTGATGCCCAATGCTGTTAAAACGTGAATGTACAGATTTATAAGAGAGCTGTAATAAAATTCTTTAATGCATCTTAACAATAATTATGGGGATCTTGAGTATTTCGGAGTTGTTTTGAAGTTAAATTGGAACCGTCATAAAACGAAACAAAAACATTGGAGTGTTAATTAATTCATTCTCCGGTATCGATCCATTTATTCTCTTCTACGATCCTTTCAAAACAGTCCAAAAGATAGGAATACTAAAAACAAAATATTTTATTAACGCTACTCTCGATAAAGTAAACATTGCTAAGGTCACGCCGGAAAAATCCATCCCCAAACATTTATATAAAAAATCTGGCAAAGTGACTTGTTAATGTTCAGTTTTCATGAATGCTCACGTAAGGGAAAACAAGCATTTCATTAATAAATGAATATTTAATGAGAAACTTGTCAAACTAAAGCTAAAAAAATGGAATTTGGATAAATACATTAAACAATTATTTACTTCTTAGGTTTAGTGTTCACGAAAAAGAAAGCACTTTTGACAACAACTGTCAGTTTTCTAAATTATTAAAGATAGTTCAATATTTGGTATAAACAATTTCTCTAGTTACACTATAAAAGCATATTGTTAGGAATATTAATACAATCTTTTACTGTTTTACTGCAACAATTACATGATTTAATTCAATATATTATACGTATTTCTTACTTACATACGGACTGTAAATTTTGAGCCACCTGGGTGTCTTGTCAGGTCGATCATATCTCAGACAAAATGCCATTGCTTCATCATCTACTTCCCATTGCCTTATACAATCCCAAGATAAATGTACCACTTGACTCTCTAATGTCCCATCTTCTTGGCATGCGTGCAATTTAAATCCCTTACTCCCCGCGGACACTATAACGTGACCTTCTTTGCGTGAATCGCACGGGCAATGGGGAAACACGACCTCCCCATAGCCGGAAAGATCGCGGGCCAATTTAAGGTATTCGGTAGCCCTCGTAACGTCCTGAAGGGCTTTAAGCTGATAAAGACGTTCTCCCGCGTGTATACAGCCTCTGTTCACTTCATCTACTGCCTAATAAAATAAACAATTTTGAAATACATCTGCCAGAAATATTTCATTCATAAAATTAAGAAAGTTTTTCTAAATATAAAAATCAAAATGTTATTATGGGCAGTTTTAAAACATTATAATCCTAAAAATGTAAAACAAGAACTTATGGCCACATAATTTCTTCCTGTAAATTTACAATTAAAATTATGTATTTTTTGTTTGCAAATTTAGTTTAGGGTTGTTCAATAAGTAATGATAATTTTGCTATACAGCAAAAAATATTTATTCTTCTCCCAAATACATATACACGTTCCTTTCCGAAGTAATCTCTCTGTTGTAATACACTTTTCTTACTGTTCCCGCCACTCTCTAGTATCGAGCTCCTCCACAGTTTTGTTGACCTTGTAATTAGTCTTGAATTTCTATCCCTTGAGAGGAAACTTGACTTCAGCAAACTGCCAGAAGTCATAAGTCGTAAAGGGATACAGCGAGCGTTCAAGAAATTTACTATAGTGTGAATTACGCAGGGCTGCATATTAGCATGACATAGTAAAATTTCATCTATGTTCTTATGAAGACGTTTTTCTTAAAATGGTGCAATATCATGATGAAAACCGATTTATTATAATTTACCGTAACCGACAACACTTAACGAGCTGCATTTGGCACAGATTCTTCGAAATCGAAAATATTATTATTATTACAACCTTATCAAACTCATTGCTTTTTTTGGAGGAGACATCTGCATCCTTTTCCATTAAAACCTTTCGTTGTTTTAGTTCCGGATCGTAATGATACATTTAAGTGTAATCTAGGTTTATGGTACAATATATTTCTTCATTTGGTTCCCCCGTCAAACTACGATAACAGGTCTTGACACTCGGAAACACGATGCTGTACTTGCTCTGACGTAAACATCAGCGGTACCCATTTGTAATGCAATCATGATATGGCCAAATTTTGCAAAATCGTAAATGTTCTGTCAATTGAGAAGCAAACTCTCTAACAGTTCTTAGAGGATAACGACCGCTATATTCTTTGAAACCTCGGTGCAAGACGTTGAAAGCGCCCCCGCACGGCTCATCTCTATCCCCCACCGCTTCAATTCCTCTCCAGTTTCATTAAAAATTTCACGTTACAACATCGCTTCAACTTTTATACATGCTGGATCTTATATACATTACGCGAATCGTCACATACGTTCAATCACTCTGCACCATTGGACTTGAAACTAATCGTAAAAGATCACTTAAAGATGCTCAAAGAATGGGCTATACCATGGAACTATTCATGTCACTATTGAACACACTTTCCCCCCAAATCACTATTATCATTACTTTTTGAAGTGTCTTCATATATAACATGAATCCAATAAATAACATTTTCAAATGAATTTTGAACAAGATTAAAAAAGGATTCATTTGTTAAAAAATTAAAATAAGTGTTTATTTATATATTTAATCATAGATTAAAAACAAAAGTACATAGAGTTGTAGATCAAAAGTTACATACCTGCCAGAAGATGTACGATGTTGCTTGAGTATCGTTCATTAGAGACAGTTCTTGACTCAAAGAGAAAAGCCATTTTCTTATACAAAGACACGTGCTTGTCGCTGTACTGTAATTTTGTATGTATAAATTATGGGGGTACTCAGAGGGTTGTAACTTGCGTTCTAAATTTCAAAAAAATAAATTAAATAATTTTACTGATTTCGCTGTTAGTGTATGTACTCACCAAAATTATATTCGACTATTTCAAACAAATAAAAATAGAGTGCTGTTTTCCTAGTCATGTTAATTTTTCTAACGACTGCCGCATACACTTCATCGGCATTTGAATTCTTCTTTAACGATACTGTGACCACTTCTCTATCTGGCAAAAGGATCTGTACCAAAGTTATTATTAATTAATTTTCAAAAATCATTAAATTAAATTGTAAGTTTTCAAACTACATTACTTAA